CAAGCTCATGAATGTCCTCAAAAGGCCAGACATGGCAGAATATATTGATAAAACTACCGCTTAACAAACTGGTAAAATATAACTTTCTCTGCATTTGATGACTACTTCTAAAAATTAAATAATTTATGTATGAGTAATTTGGCATTATAAACATAAAAACTGATTTGATTTGACTGATAAAGTAATATTGAAGCACACAACTGTTATCTTTAAGTTCTGTTTTTGTGACCCTCTAGGAAGTAGAGAGCCACAGAAATGGTTATGGCTGGCCGGATTTGGCCCATAGGCCATGGAGTTTTTTAAATATTGTAAATTAACAATTACTTGAAACCACATAAAATGGTTTAAAAAAAGAAATTTAAGGTTGAATAATTAGTTCTTAAACTATGTAAATGCATGCAATAAATTGCAAAAGTTGAAGTTAAAGTATTAAATAGAATCATATTGAAATAATTACTAAAAAAAATTCAATTCCGCTTACGGAGCCTCTAGTGGCCCCAGGGCCTTAAGCAGTTTACTTATGCCTTGGGCTAGCCCTGGTTAAGAACCACTTAGAGATGTCAAGGTCAACAGCTTCAGATATTTTTACAAGACATTCCAGGAAACAGGAGCAGAGTAGGAGAAGGCCTTTTTGCCTAGTTCACTCGCATTGAGGGAACACTGCATGTAATAATGTCCTGAGAGTGCACGCTGTAGCTGCACTCACACAATGTAATGTAGGAGAAGATGTATGAAGGCAGCAGACCAAGAAATTATTTAAAGATGAAAATGTACCAGTGAGTCTGTGTGAAGTTAATGATGTCCAGTTAACCAGTGAATACAAGGTTCAATGGTGGGTACGATAACAGCCAGTTATGAATCTTAGCGCACCGTGATAGACAGAATACAACATCTGCAGGGTGATTGTACATATAAACATATGAAGAAGTCACTGTCATACCTCCTAAGGTCAATGTTTGCATAAACAAGTTAAAATAATAGTCAGCTTAGATTTAAATTTAAGTATCATTATTATGAACAGAGAAGGAAAATTTCCACCTTGGTGGACAGTAAAGTTTTATCTTATCTTTTCTTATATTTTCTTAATAAGCAAATAATATGAAAAAATAAAATCAAACAAAAAACGAAGTAAATTTATACATATCTTTCATTCATTCAACCTTTATTTAGACAGGTAAATCCCATTGAGCCTCGAGGACTCATTTACAAAAGAGACCTGATTTCAACAAAGAATGACAACAATGGACAACAGCGACAACAATAAACAGCCACAAAAAAGTCATATAGATTTTTTTATTTTTATTTAACAAATAGGATGGCTAAAAAAAGAAAAGCAACATAAAAACAGCTAGATTCTAAGGTAAATGTAAAAATCTCAAAACAGGATATCTATAATATAATAATAATAATAAATATATATATAATAATATCTATAATCTATAATATCTACCAAAATAATTTGAGAGGGGGCTATTTTATTTTGGTGAGATGATAATAGAGTTTGAGGTTTTTTTTAACACTGTCCAATGAAAGTTTTATCATCTGGAGTTCTTGTTTGAATACCAACCATAATGGCTTAGATCTGCCATATCTGCATTTACTTTGCAATACTTTGCAGTTTGTTTTTCGCAGACTCACTCTATCATGGTTTTTCAAAGTAAGATTGGACATGACACACAGTTGGCTGATTGATAGATGAGCCACACAATTGGCATGGAATTTTTTAATTTCATTATTTTCATTTATTTATACAGGTAGTCTCATTGAGCCAAGATAACTCATTTTCAAGAGAGACCTGTTTAGGGAGCAGATGGGGGGTTAAGGGCCTTGCTCATGGGCCATGGGACGAATGAGGGTAGGGGCAAATGTGGGTGCTTCACCTACCCCACCCACATTTTTTATGTTGCCGGTATCGGGGCGTGAACCGGCAATCTTCCAATCACAGGCCCACCTCTCTAACCTCTGCGCCACCACTCCCCATTTAGCACCTGTGCACACAGCCAGCCCAAGCTGCAGGAGAAGCAGCTGATCAGTTGATCTCGCTCAGTTGGAAAAATGGGCGTGGTCAAGAGCCGGCAGGTGGCAGAGTGCAGCTGAAGCAGAAAGCTGAGATCTTGTCATTCTGTGCTCTTTTAAAGTGTTAAGAGCTTAGAAATATTGTTTAGAATATTTATTGCATGAGTGTGGGAAGGATTTTGAATGCTTATATAT